TAAGAATGGGTATACAAGATTGCGTGGTATATTAAACAAGGTAGTGACGTGCTAATATCTAGACTTACATATTAAGGTACTAGTAGAAATGACTCGCATACATAAATTTGAATAACTTGGATTGACCAGTCCCCGAAAGCAGCGCCTGTTCACAGACATGACGAGTGAACCAGCCATCGCTTCACTCGACTATATTAGAGGGAATGTAACGATATAGGTTGATAAGTATATCAATATACCTACAATTTGCATTTAATAATGTTATAATTAATCGCCATAGTGATAATTGACAAAACTATTATTAGGTATAAGATTGAGATAAGAATTAAATCATTTTGGATTATTTATAGGCCTGATAGACCACTCATTTCAACTACAGAATATCTCTACCTACTAATTGCTTGAGGGAGAACTTTGTCCAGCAGTGGACGTCTTTCGGCTGAAACGAATGAACGAACGAACTAATTGCTGTAAATGTTTTACAGAAAGTGTTATCCAGCACAAAACATAATAACAAAGGTCCGCTGTACATGATTTTGAAACCATGGCTGCAAGATGGACTTCTTTTGAGTAACGGTAAGTAATATTAAATATTTTAACATGTTACCATGTTTCAGATAAAAAAATGTAAATAAAACGACATAATTTATCAGTTCACGGGAAATGTTTCATGCCATTCATCAATACAAATATATGTATAATGTTGAACTTCGGTCTGAACGAGATAAAATTATCACATTTTAATAGTGTTCAACTTTGAGGGGCAAATAAATCAACCACTGCACATTTCAGAGCTTTTTTTTATCAATAATGACTTATTTTTATTTAATAATTAGGCCATTGTCTTTTCAAGTCATCGACCTTTTATTGATATTGATAATGGTTCAACGTTTCTTGTACTCCACGTGCTGTAGCAGAAACTTTTGCCAGATAAATCACTTTTACTTAGGTTTCTTCGACTTAACAAGGCTGCTACACGCGAGGTCACTATTCGTAGTTCGCAATATATTTTTTAGCCTTGCATTGATAGTGTAAGTATGTTCTAACTAAAGAAAATTTTTACCCAATTGTTCGTCTGTCTTTATTGATAACTAAAGCTTTTAATTGATGTTGAAACTGAAAGATAGATTCCAGTAGGTAAACTATTTCGCTGATACCTACTCATGGTCTGATATCATATGATGATACATCTTTTGTTACGGCTCTGTGGCTACGGATATTTAATCAATAATAGAGACTACAAGGAACCTAGATATGTATAAAAACACAATAAATGCCAAAAAGGACGCCCGCTGACTAAAATCCTGGCAGCTAAAAGCACAGTGATGCCATAAATTGCAACTCGCTTTCTAGATCAGATAGGTACATATTTTTATTTGAACCTTGATACGAATACATAGATGATTTTCATTATAATTTAATTTTAAGGTGCAAAATGGCAGCAACGCCGAAAGATTCTGACGCCTGCCTTCCACTTCAACATCCTGAAGCAGTTCAGCGTGACCCTGGACGAGAACAGCCAGCGAATGGCCAAGTCTCTGGAGAAACTGGATGGGAACAAAGTCGATGTGGTGCCACTCATCTCGGAGTTCACCCTGAATTCTATATGCGGTACTTATTTATTGAGCAAAAACCTTACTTTTTATTACTGTCATAACTTATAACACTGGTACACCATAGTTTTGCATATCAATGGAAGTCTGGGACGCTTTTGTTTACAAACAGACAAACATTGAATGAAACAGAAAAAGCTCTTTTAATACATAGTACTTATTTAAAAGCTTCTAGAATTTTGATTTTCTAACAAAAATAAATGTAGAGGCATTTGGGAATTGGCGGTAATTGGCCGTTTTTTTAATTCATAATTCAACTAAAATAATTTCATAATAAATGGGTTATCATAATATACCTAATACCACGATATAATACTTAATCAAAGTAATGGACATGGC